ACACGTATGGATAAAGAAGAGCCTAAAAATATACAGAGTCTGTTCCCCCCAATGCCCGCCCAAAGGTCAAATTCATAACAGAAAGCATGAAAACTTGGAAGACTGCACTAAATTTAAACCATACAAAAGGGTCATTAACATTGACACCAATCAACATCAAAAGCGGAATCTTCCAAGGAGATTCATTATCGCCACTATTCTTCTGCCTTGCATTAGCGCCACTCAGCTGCTTACTGAACAACAGTAGCTACGGATAAAAGTCACAGAATGGTAAACTGAATCCCCTATTCTGTATTGATTATCTTAAAACGTTTGCAAAAGATGAAAACCAACAGAAAAAAACCTACTCATCATTGTCAAAACCTTCAGCGAAGACATTAAGATGGAGTTCGAAATCGACAAATATGCCAAAGCCACCTTCAAAGGTGGTAAACTAAGGAAAACTACAGATTTAGACCTTGATAGCGAGATGAAGGAACTAGACCAATAAGGTAAATACAAATAAAAAACTTAAAACTGAAGGAATTAGTGAAGGAGATGGAATACAACATTAAAACAGTAAAGAATATTGGAAGAGGAGAGTGCGTTTGATTATGTGGAACTAGCAAACGAACTTAATGGGGGTTAATAAAATGAAGTCTATGAAGACCTTAACTATTACCCGTAGTAAATGTCGCATACAGCAATTAAATATTATTAAATGGAAGTTGAATAAAAATAAAATATTGGAAACTAACGTGGCTCGAGAAAAAATATTTCCCCAAATGAGGATGTACAGCGCCACCCGAAATCAGATGTTGATAGGTTGTATATAATAAGAGGTTTTCAGGAGGTCGAGGAATCTAATCCAATTGAATTAACTCTAAAACTACAACAATCGGATTAGAAGCATACCCACAAAAACCAAAGACTCTCTCCTGCAAATATTAAAACACCAAATCCACTCCATCAACAAAGAAACTGCACTCTTCAAGAAACACCTGAATATACCTGAAATCCTACCAACAAAAAATGAAGCAAATACCATCTACGCAAAACGAGTAAAACAGAAAGTAAAAAAAAAAACTAGCAGGAAAGGGTGTTACATGGCAAACACATAAAAAGAACGAAAGAAGTAGACCAACAGAAAATACATCAGTGGCCGAGGAGCACCGGGTTGAAAGCTGGGAGAGGAGGCCTAATTATTGCAGCTCAGGACCAAAACCTCGCAACCAGATCCTAACAGTGCCACGTACAAGTTTGAAATTAAGCCGAAATGCAGGATCTGCGAAAAATATGATGAAATTGTCGACCATATTATCTCAGGATATCCGGAAGTAGCAAAAAATGAATATATCCATAGACATAACAATGAAGCGACATGTGTGCACTGGAAGATATGCAAGAAGCACAAAATCTAAACGAGTGAGAAATGGTACAAGAACCAATCAGACACAATTACCCAAAATAATGATGTGACTATCCTCTGGGAGATGCCAATTTAAGCTGACAGCGAAATAAAAGACAACAGACCTGATATTATCCTAAAAGACAAGAAATTCAGGAAATGTATGCTTATTAAAATAGAAGTACCATTTGTGAAAAACAACGTCTTGAAAATTATCGAGAAATTGTCCAAATACAAGGACCTGGAGATCAAGATTAAGAGGATGTGGGGGAATGAAGACTGGGCCTCGTGAGAAAAGGAATGGACAATTTTACTAATAGTGTCCCAGGTAATATCAACATAGAAGTTACCCAGAAGATGGCCCTGCTAGGAACATCCCATATGCTAAGAAAGGTGCTATCAGTTAAATGTCAATTCTCCTATTGTGCCTAAGGACCATAGTTTGAACCCGGTTCTACAGGATACAAAACAGTAACCATAACACATAAACAATGATAATAATCAACAGAACATGAAACGGAATCAGAAATGGATATAAAAACTATTAACATTACACAAATTAAGATACACACCAATCACTGTGAAGATAATACTGACAGTTTAGAAGAGTTGAAAATGCATGATCTTAGTCGCACACAAACCTGTAATAAAACGAGTCCAAAACACATTGAACTGAATTATTTTACGGAAAATAAGAATAGTATACAAGAAGCCAAAGAAGAAATAATGAGGCATATAAGTGAAATAGAAAATATTGAAATCGAGGAAAGAGAAGAACTCCCAAAATTACTACCGACAAAGCATAACCTTAAAATTATTAAACTCAAAATTGAATGCAGCACTTGAACTCATAAATTAATTTATCTGGATGAAAAAATTTTTTTAATTTTATTGTTCTCTGAAATAAAATTTTGATAGACCTAAACAAATATATATATATATATATATATATATATATATATATATATATATATATATATATATATATATATATATTATTATTATTATTATTATTATTATTATTATTATTACCCTCATATCTTCATATCTTTCCAGCCTCGACCGAGTTTGAAAGCATTCGTGCGGCCTTGTGGATGATGAAATGCTTTCCAC